TGTATTAAGTAATAAATAAATTATAAAATAAAGATAATGAAAAAATATTAAAATAATAAAAAAATGTTTTATAATAATAAATAAATTATATAATATATATAATAAATAAAAAATATTTTAATTATTTAAGTTATTTCAATGTACAATTATAGCTATTAAGTAGTTTTTGACTTTTTGATTGCACATTATTTATATGGAAGGTATAAATTAGTGTAATTTATATAGCGGAATGTTGCACTCTATAAATCAAATTGTTGCACTTTACAATGCGTCACGTTGCACTTTATCAACATAATTAACGTCACACAACTGCCGCCACAAATATTACGCGCGCAGTATAAATCTAAAAACCGGTAAAAAATAAATAACTTATTAAATATCAATAATGTAAGATGTTAAAATAGCATAAAAATATTTTATAGTATAAAGTAAATTATATAATAAAAAATAATAAAGTAATTTTATGTGTATTAAATAGTTTTCGAGTACACATAATTAGTAAATTAATGCACATTATAGAGCGGTATATTACAATTTATAAAACAACACGTTGCACTTTATAAGAATAATATGTTGCACTTCATCACATAACGTAACAGTAAACACAAGCATGCTAACGTACCAAATACCAATATATTGCACTTTATACAATAATGTATTGCATCTTATAACATAACATATTGCACTGTATAAAATGACACGATGCACATACTAAAAATTTATTAATATTGATAATCAATCAAATAATATTAGTTGGTTAAATGTCGAATTTAGTCTATTTAAATAATTAAAATAAATGAACATGCCAACTTATACGAAAAAATAATACTAATTCTATTTATTTATTTTTTTTATAAAAAATACTATTTTTTTTTATTCTATATTCTTGTATGTATTGTGAGTGCACATTATAGTTATATGAATTGCACATAAATGTCTACCGAATTGCACAAAATCGAATGAGACCCAACTAACATGAATTCGGTACATACTTTTTATGTTTATTCAATTATTGTCATTATTTTATTTTATATATTAATTATTTCGATACCAAGGTTGCAGTAATTATGTTAATCGAACTAATAACATTAGTTGGATAAAGGTCACATTTAGTTTTTATAAATAAATAAAATAATCAAACATGTTGAACTATATGAAATATTTTTATCGATTTTTCTTTATTTATATGTTTTTTTTTTTACAAAAACTAATAATATTTTTTATATCTATATTTTTATGTATTGCAATTGCACGTTAGGGTTATACGGGTTGCACGTAAATACTTAACAGATTGCACAAAATCGCTCGAGATAAACGAATAAAATTCAGTACGAAATTTTATATTTTGGCATATTATTATTATTATTATTATTATTATTATTATTATTTTATATATCGGTTATTTTGGTATGATTTCGTTTTTTATTCAAATAACCAAAATAAAAACAAACTAAATTAAAAAATAATATTTTTTATATTTTTTTTTTTATTTAGAAATCCGAAATAACCGAATGGCAGAACTACATAAAAAATACTATTATTTTTTATTATTGTATTTTTATGTATATTTATTTCATTAAAAACAATATTTGTGTAAAAAAAACATTGCTTTTTTTTTTAATGTGTACATTTTTACATAATAATGTGCAATTTATGTAACTTTAATGTACATTAATCATACTTTTATTATATTACACATTGGCCTCAATTTGAACAAATTGCAATTAAGCCCCTATAAAATATCAAATTTCCTAAATAATAACCCCCAATTCAATGAAGCAATTTCAGCACAACCCCCGTCTTCGCCGGAGCTCAGCCTGGAAGTTCCAGTCACCGTCAATATGGTCACCGCCGCCGTCTTCATCGCCCACTACGTGACTCTGCCAAAACCCTCCTTTAGGACATCGACAACTCCATCTGCGCAGAAAAAAAAATAAAAAATAAAAACGAAAATTGGCCATTATCATCACACATCGTCGCCTCCTTTGTGCGGGGTAGGGGAAGGACGTCGATGGCGACGCGGCTGTGGGAGCGAATTCCGACGACGACATCCAGTGGGAGAAGAACGTTGGAAAAAGCTGATTCGCCGGCAGCCATGAGTTCTATGGCGGATGTCGGTGTCGTTGAGGAGGGTATGACGTCGACTGTGGGCGGAGAAGATGCAGCAGTCGACGACGGACGGAGAGATGGTTGCGGTAATCGACGGCAGTGGTCGACAGCAAGCGGAAGAATGGATGCGACGACCGACGGCGGGCGGAAGAGGGCAGAGGACTCAGCGTTGTGTGGCAGCGGACGAGCGATGTCTGCAGATGCTGTACCCGGAATCTTCAAATGTGGCCAGGTTGAGATGGTTGCCGGAGGGGGAGTCGGGCAGAGAGAGAGAGAGTAGAGTGGAGAGAGGAGAGGGGAGAGAGAGAGTAGAAAGGAGAGAGGAGAGAGGG